CTCCCTCCCTCCTCCCTTCCTCCCCCCTTTCTCTCTCTCTCTCTCTTTCTCTCCTCCCTTTCCTTCCTGCCTTTTCTCCCTCCCACACCAAAGCTTGGGAATTAGAATAGAATGTGAATGCTGTGACTTATTTATGGTATTCATGAAAGCATCTGGTAAGTGAAGTTTCACACATTGTGTTTGCCTAAATAAGGCTACTATATCCTAGTACCCCGAACCAGGAGAGCTCAAGCAATGCAAATGTATTCTGTGTATCCTGTTACATTCTGGATTGCTAGAATAGGGCTCATTCTTTGTGAGAGTCTTAAGGAGGACTCTGTTCCTTATTTTGTTTGTTTTGTTTTTCCTTAGCTTCTGGTAAGGAACTCCAGCTACCCAGAAATGTGACAAAATGCCACTTAGGCATTGAAGTATTGTTAGACATTAAGGAAGATTATAAGGTTTCTGTTTTAATGAAGAAAACAGTTGAGTATTGATAATTAGATTACAGAGTTCAAGAACAGTAGCCTTTGCTTTCAAGCACATGTAGTGCTTAAGCCATCACCAAATTATTAAAATCTGAGTGTTCGTAAAGCTGCAAGCAGAATGCTGTCTTCTCTGGCCTATATTCTGCCTGCCTCTGCCTCCCAAGTGCTAGGATTAAAGGTATGTGCCAACACAGCTCTTTCCAGGCATTTTTCTTTTTGAGACAGGGTCTCCCTTATAGCCCCAGCTGTCCCAGAGCTCACTATGTAGGCCTTGAACTCACAGAGATCCACCTGCCTCTGCCTCCCAAGTGCTGGGATTAAAGGCATGCACCACCACGCCCGGCTTCAATATATATTTTTAATTGAATTTTTGTGCATTGAGCCATAATTCTAGAAGGAAAACAGGAGTCAAGGTATTCATGTGGAGGATTTTATTGATGCTTTGAACTTGAGGAAAGGCCATACAGTTCATTCTTCTGTGACATCTCCATCACTCTCTAAAACAAAAAGGATTTAGACAGAAGTGATAAATTGTCCTGAACATGGCACGCACCTGACATCTTCACCATTACGTAGGCCCATTAAAACATGTATTGCTGCACATGGTGGCCCACACCTGTGATCCCTGCACTCAGGAGACCGGGGCAGGAGAATCACTGAGAACTTGAGGCCAGTTTGAGGCCAGTTTGAGTTGCATAGTGGATTCCAAGCTCGCCTGACCTACAGAGGAACACCTGGTCTCAAAACCAGAAAAAAATGGCCTAAAAGGACATAAGAAAGTAGGAGAGAGAGAGAGAGAGAGAGAGAGAGAGAGAGAGAGAGAGAGAGAGAATAGGAATTGGAAGAGGCTGGGAGAGGGGTGAGGAAGAAGGAGAAGAAAGGCAAAGGAAAGACAAGAAAGAACCTGCGGAAGCTTGAACTAATCTAACGAGGAGTTAGAAAACCTTTCAGCACACGTAGCACTTGCTCTTATGAGAAGGAAGAAGAGTTTTCCACCTTTAGTAAGTTTGAGAAGAAGAGCATTATGGCATAAACACATCTTGGAAGGATTTCAGACAGAAAGTGAAGATGTAAGAATTAAAGAAATGAAGAGAAATGAGAAGAATTGGGAATCTACTAACTTCCCTACATGACTGAATTTAGTTAGTATATAAGGAATTACGGAAGACCGTCGTTAGCTGGCTTTCCTTTGCATTGGTTATCATGCTGCTATTACACTGACCTCTCTGGCCACCTTGGCCACCTCTGCCACCTTGGCTACCCTGGCCAGCCTGGCCACTTCCATGGCCTTGGCCTCCTTGATCATCTCCTCCTTGCTGGTTTCCACTCTGATGAGTCTGGTCTCCATGGCTGTTACCACCAGAGCCTTGCTGACTACCTCTCTTGCCTTGTGGTCCTTGGAGGTTCTGAGGCTCGGTCTGAGGTTCATCTGGCTCTTCTTCATTGAGTTGACTGGCTGCTTGGGAGAGAGAAAACACATACGTAAAAGAGCAAGAATAGAGAAAGAATTGCCTTGAGGTTTATAAGATAAAAAGTCTACCATTGAAGATATTTTACTGGCATAGATGGTATTAGGTAGTGACTATGTCTAGCATCTAGTAAACAACAGGCACAGCAATCCTTACTATGATGTGTATACATAGGTCATCAAGCACCTTTTGTTTGCACCATTCCAATTCACTCTGCTTCTCTTTTGATGCATCTGCCATTATTCTATATTGCTATCTATTCTGAACTTGGACTTGGCATGCTAAATATGAAATCACCCATATGCCACCATACTTCTCATAGTGTCTGAGAGAAATTATCATGATACTGTCTAGTACCTTGACACCAGTCTCATTGAATAGGGGAATATCATCAGCTATGCTGTCCTCAAAAGCAAGACAGTCATGGAATAGCCTCCCTCCTCATTCCTCTGTAGCTTCCTACAAACTGTTAATCTAAAACTTACTGAACACAAGGTATAAGTAAACCCACACACATATTGTTTTATTTATTTTGTTTGTTTATTGAAACAGGATATTATATAGACCAGGATGACCTCAAACTCACTATGTAGCTGAAAATGACCATGAACTTCTGATCCTCCTGCCTCCATTTCCTTCCTATATTCTGGGATTACAAGTATGAGACAATATGCACAGCCACATACACCTTTCTTTTGTAAACTTCTGATACTTAGAATTAAATCCAAGTCCTTTTCATCTCTCTTTTTTAAAATGTGTTTGTGTGTGTGTGTGTGTGTGTGTGTGTGTGTGTGTGATTTAGAGAGACAGAGAGAGAGAAAGAGCTTTCTATGCACATGTGAATGCATGGGTGTACAAGGTGCAAAGAAAGACCTCAGGTGTCCTGTTCTATCATGTTGCACCTTATTCTTTTGATACTGGGTCTCTCACTGAACCTACAGCTAGACTGACAGCCAGAAAGCCCCATTGATCCTCGTATCTCTGCCTTCCCAGTGCTGAAATTACAGGTGCATGTCTGAATACCTGACTTTATTTGAGTACTGGGATTTCAACTCAGGGCCTCATGATTGTGAAGCAGGTGCTCTTAGTCACTGAGCCATCACTCCAGAGTCCCGCTCTTCCATCAACTCTCAATCGTTACTTTATGACCCTGTGATCATTACTCTTTCTCACAATCATTCTTTGGTAAATTAGTATTATTGAATTGCATGCCCTAGACATGACAGATTCTGATAGTCAAAGGCCGAAAGAGACAATCTGCGCCCTGAAACTGCTGTTCCTTCCATTGTGTTGTCAGGTCACCAAAGAAATTATTATGCTAATTCCTTGTTCAAAATTTTTGTCACTCAAACAGTGTAGCAAAATCGATTTGCCTTTCACAACTTGGTACTAGGTCACATTTCAACTTCTCTACTTACATTTATTCCAACCATATTGCTTTTCAGTGATCTAGGGTAATGAATGTATGGATAGGCAAAAACGCATGCCGAGATTTTGCTGTGAATTTTGTTATGCTTTCCGTCAGCCTTCCAGGTTCCAAGGCCAGATTCCATGCCATCTCTGGTATGAGTTCATGAACTTTCAAAACTTCCTTGCCTACTTTTCTGACCCAAGATTCGATTCTCAGATTCTGAGTCCCTTGGGAAGAGTAACCATGCTCCCTTTAGCTCTGTATTCTCAGCCATGACAAAAGGGCCCTGGCAGGGCCATAGTACATGCAATTTTTTATTGAATTAGTACTGGAGATGAGGTTATAAATAATCAAAGCATTTCTTTCAGGAATCCCCAGATAGGAATTCTGTCACAGTGGCAGCCAAGGCCAGATTCCTTGGGCAAAATAACAAAAAAAAAAACAAAAAAAAACAAAAAAAAACAAAAAAAAAGAACTAATAACCCCACGCTGAATTTCAGAACGCTAAACCCAAAGCAAATTATTCTTTTTCTTCCTCTTTTTTTTTCTTTTGCCTTTTTTTGTGATTTCTATAATACAAAACTAAGAACTGTGTATTAAAAATGTGGATAAGGGAAAATTTAAAGTTAAACATGATTTTCTAATCTAAAAAGAAGAATTGTAGAGTGAACCAGTAATCCAGGAGTTGCTAGAATCCATTTAGAAAAAATTCTCAGTGACTTGACTAAAATTGAAATAGCTCACATGATTGTTGAAGCTCATCCTCTTGACCAGCTTCTGTAAAGACAAAACAACACAGACACAAAGAATGCAATTAAAAATGATAGTATCAACTGAGTGGAAAGAGCATTGCAAAACAAGGAACTAGGAGGAAAAAAAATCCTTAAGCCTAAGGGTTTTATATTTTGGGAGAGGATTTTTTTGTTTTTGGTTGCTGGTGTTTGGTGGGATTTGGGGGGTTTGGGGGGATTTTTTTGTTTTGTTTTGTTTTGCTTTTTGAGAAAGGGTCTCCATGTAGCACCAGCAGATCTGGAACTCACTTATGTGGACCAGGCTAACCTGTATCTCACAATGATCCATCTGTCTCTGTCTCCCAAGAGCTGGAATTAAAGGTGTATGCCACCAAGCCCTGCATAACTTTTGGGAGTTTTGTGTGTTTGCTTGTCAGCTCACTAGAGATTGAACCTAGGGTCTCATGCATTTTCAGCAAGTGTCCAACCACTCCTCTACATCTCTTTCTTTACTATTCGCTTTGAGACAAGGTCTTGTGAAGTTGTCCAGACTGTACGTGAACTTACTTTGTAGCCTAGTTAGGTCGTGAATACATAAGCTCCACTAGCCTTAGCCTCCAAAAGGGCTGGGATTACAAACCTGTAACGTCAGGCCCAGCTCTAAGGCTTGCTTTAAACTACACACTTGTCCATTAATTCTCTGACTGGATGCTGTTATTTCTTTGGTGGAATAGCTTATATCCCATTCGCTCTCTCATGTACTGTGGTCCTCTGCTCCGACCTCCTCCACCTGTGCTCTTCAAACTAACTTCAGTGTTTTTCATTTGAACTGTACACAACTAATAATGGGTTTAACATTCACATGCTCTTGAAAAATTAGCAAGTAAGCTTTGAATTCACAATGGAAGAAGAAATAAAATTCAATGATAAGGTTACTGATTGAATAACCAAAATAATTAAGCAAATTTTGTAATATTTTTATGCTTCGAGTGAGTTATATGTCAATGACATCAAAATCTTTGCATATGTAAGGGGTTTGTGTTCCTCCATTGCCAGTCACTGTCTGTAGGAAGATTTAAATAAGATAATTTATAAGTGTGTGATGTGAATGTCCACTGCTGATATCCAGAAACCTTTTAGACATCTGGCAAAAGGGAGCCCAACGTGAAAAGGAAGGAGCTAGTTCACATTTAACACTATGGTAGAGAACTACTAAAACTTTTGGGGGTTTGCATTCTTCTTGGCCTTTTGGTAATCCATAAACACAATTTTGTAAATGACAAAAAATAAGAAAAGAGCATATTACATTGTGAAGAAAAACGGAACATATCTTTAAGTAAGAATTTACCTTGCTCTTGAAGTGAATTTTCATCATCTAGGATTTTAAAAGAAAAAAAAAGGCATAAGGAAATAAAATAATAAAATCCCTGAGAGAACTCTTGGGGAATGTATAAAGATTTATGAATATGTACACAGATATGCACATATATATGATGTACATATATATGGTTTGGATACAATATAACATTTCCCAAATTAGAATGCTAGTCCTAATCATGGATTCTTGACAAGGAGTAAAAAGAAAATCAAACAATTAAGTTGCTTCTTACACAATGAAATGGCAAGTCATCATCTCAATAATGTGACAACCTGAATAGAGAATATTCAAGAATCAAACCATCTGTAGGCTAAGCAGCTCACTACCTACATTAACAATTTTCACTTTGCATCTTGATATCTGATACCATTATAATGAGCAGTTAAGAACACTGGCTGCTCTTGCAGAGGACCTGGGTTCCATTCCCAGCACCCATAAGGTGACTAACAACCATGTGTAACTCCAGTTCCAGAGATCCAATGCCCTCTTCTGACCTTTGTGAGCATTGTACAACACAGGTGCACTTACACACATGCAGGCAATATGCCCACAGACATAAAATTAAAAATTGTAAATAAAGTTTTAAAAAATATAGATATGTCATTCATCTCTATATTGAACAGAGCCATAGATGAATAATTTGTCTTTTACTTTTAGTACATATAGTCTGTCATTGTTACCCTGTTATTCATTCCTAGAAAGTTATGCTCGCTATAAATATTTGTCTGACAAATAGTTTCACTTTCCATGTTGTGCTTTAAAAGAAGATGGATTATATCAGAAAGAATTTAAATAGTGCTTGCTTAATATCAAAATTTCTTTAAAAAATTAAAATTTAACCAAAATTCTCAATAGTTCTAAATATTCATGTATTTTTGTGATGGAAACAAAATATCTAGGTGAAATTTAGATGAATTATAACATTTTTTACTCAACTTAGATATCCTATTTCATGAAAAAGAGTGAATGTCTGAAGTCCACATATGTGCAAATAGTAAACATTACATCATGAAAATGCTGTCATAAGATTCTGGCTTAGAACATCGACCAAGTTTTTCAGAGATAGATTTTTGGAAAGCAATGTAGAAACTAATGCCTCCCCTTTTATTGACCTACTCTCTGAATAATAATTTCTGAAAAAGATCATCCTATTCCATGAATTTCACCCCCATTTCTCCCTTCTTACCATCATTGACCCTCTGAGCTGAGTTCACGGCCAGCAGGGCCATGGAGAGCAAGACCAGCAGCATCTTGACGGCAGCCATGGTGTCTCTCTACTTTGGTGCTGTAGGAACCTCAGACACAGCCTCTATAAAACCCAGGAGAACAATGCCACCTTGATGGCCATGGGGTGGGCACTTCCCTTTATATCTAATTCTTCATTTGTGCCTCAGCCAGACTAGCTGAATTAAACTAAAGAACTCATCATGTTCCTTAAAAGAAAACCAGGAATTTCATCAGGTTCTTTGAAACAATGGCTCATTCTCCTCTTCTGTTAATTCTAAGTGTTACTAATTGTGTTCCATGTTTAATATTCCATCTACAACTGTGGTTCTCTGTTCTATTACCAGATCCAGCACTTTCCAAAGTGCCAATTACTTCAGGACTCTTTCCTACAGATTGAGCCAACAGAATCACACGGAAATCAAAGAATAAAATAACAGAAACATAGTCACCAGATGAAAACAAAAAGGGGTTAAGAAAAACCAGGGTAAGTTATCATACATGACTTGAAAAAAACAAAAGTAGTTGCCAATAAAAGACCAAAGCCAGTATCAGATTCCAAAGACTGCAGCTATTCAGAACTGAATTGGTGAGTTGAATGGACTAATAAATATTAAAACTAAAAATGATCAGAATAAGGACTGAATTGGAAAACACTACTTTGTAAGACTCACTCAGTGAATTAAAGCCGTTCAGCTCGGAAAGAGAGAAGTATAATTAAGCACACAAGTTATTCTTAGTTATATGTAACAAAGAACAATTTCCTTTGACTACTTCCTGAAGGTCCAAAAAGAACTATTGATTTATAAAAGGAGGCCATTTTGTTGATAATATAAAAATAACTCCTTGGAATGAGTGAAATTCTTTTACATAATTTGTATTCATTTTATTTTTATTTTTATTAAAATTGAATGTAATTTTAAATCATTTTAATAATTTAATTGTAATTCTTGCCTCCTAAATTTTTAAATATAAGAATGAACCTATGAAAATTATTAATACTTGAAATAATTTACTTGAGTTCTCCAAGAAAAATTAATTTCTTATCACTGGATGTGCTCAAACATGAAGGGATTTGTAGTGTATAAAAATGAAGGCTCATTGGGTGAATTATCTCTCCCATAGTCAATGGAAGAAAGGCTTCTTTTTACTCTGCATGGAAATCCAAGCAGTGGTATGGCTTTTCTGGTCTCTCTTAATTACTAAAAAATAACCTAATAATTACTTTGTCACAAAACATCACTCAAATTCAGTACATTGAAATATACATTGAAATGTCCAATGAAATGGGGCATTTTCATTATGTCCTGGCTGCTTTTCCTCCAGTCAGCTGAGGCCTTCTGAGAAAAATGACCTGACATCTAGACAGTAGGTGTCTTCAGCATTTACCTAGCCTTTACTCCTTTCTCTCTCTCCAAGCAAATGTACTTTCCCCTTTGACTATTCCTCCTAGTCATCAGCAAAAAGACATCAAGGCCTCTCCTTATACCTTTTCATGTATTAATTTGGTTTTGCTTTTTTTTCAGGATATTTTCCATTTTTCTTTCACTTTACTGCCAAACTTAATTTTTATGTCTATGTGTCCTTCTTTTTCTTTCTTTCTTTTTTAATTCATGATAGATATACCGATATATAGATGATGAATAATAGATGATAGCTAGATCAATAGATAGATGATGGATGATGAGTAAATAATAGATGATAGATAGATAGATAATGATAGATGACAAATGATATAGGTGATAGATGATAGATAAATAATAGATAGATAGATAGATGATAGATAGATGATGATTGATAGATGATAGATGATAGGATGATGGATGGATGGATGGATGGATGTATAGAACATAGGTCATAGAGGTGATAAATAGAAAGTTAGATCGATGTCAGATGCCTACATGATACATAAATGGATGACTGATGATATAGATGATAGAGAGATGGTAGATAGATACAAAGATATATACATAGATAGATAGATAGACAGATAGATAAATGGATGACAGGTGATAGGTGGATGATAAATGATAGATAGCTAGAGAGTGAGAGATAGATGAATGGATGAGAGATGATGAATAGATGATAGATGGATGGATAGATAGACCGATAGATGATAGCTAGATGGCAGATAGGTGGATGGATAAGTAGATACATCATAATATTTATCACGCACTTAATGTGTACTAGGAATTGCTCCAAATACTTTCATGAGTAGGTACTAATCCTCTTGACTTTAATGCACTTCAATTCTTAAAATACTTATTTATTATATTGCTATAAAATTTAACATTGTGCATAAAGGAACTTGTTTCACATTTACATTTACTCTTCAAAATTTTGTCCCCACACCTTCCCAATTTCCAGCACTTTTCCCTAAATGTCACTGAAATCTTCACAGTCAAAATTGTGTTTTCATTCTCCATTCTACTGACACTTGCAATAGTTTAATTGTTAAATATGCTTCAACGGCTTATGTATTGGAAACCGGCTCCCCAGGAAAGCCAGCTATTTGTAGAAGATGGTGACACTTTTAGGCAGTTGGGCCAAATGGGGGTTCTCAAAGTGTAGGCTGCATATCTTTGAGGAGGATCTTGGTACCCCAGGCCCTTCTTCACTCTTCTTGTGTTTTTGCCTTGAGATGGACAGCTTGACTCCACTGCATGCTCCCACCACTATGGGCTGCCTCGTCATAAGTCTGCAAGCAAAGGGCCTACCAGTCACAACAGAACCTCCGAAACTCAGAGACAAATATACCTTTTCTTTTGACAAATCGATATCACAGTTATTTGTTACAGTGATGGAAAGCTGAGTAACAGAGTTTCGTCACCTCCTGTGCAGATTAGAACTACTGTGTCTCTGTCACCAGACACTTCAGCTTATAGATTCCTACCCAAGTTACCATTTTAACTTTTATAATAAAATAACCCATGGGAAAGCCGAATCTTAGCATGATATATGTCACATTGCAATATGGTTGCATTTGAATTTTACAGCTTTATGTGCTGCTACTCTGTCCAATAGTGATATCTGCGTAACCAAATTAGCTTCTTCATCACTCCCTGGAAATGACATACATTGTCTTGCCTTTATGCCTTTTTTATGGTTTCACATCTTTAATATGCTGTAAGTATGTTTTCTTACTCCTCCTGGGATATAATCTAAGGCATTCTTTAAAAATTAACTCCATTGTGATTTATCAAACTATTCAATAAAATATGAAACCAGTCATAAATATGAATATGAAATCAATGTCATAAAAATTTAAATAAATAAAAATGAACTCTAACATTAATCCTTTTGAGAAGCCTTCTCTGAGCAACCTCAGAAAGAATTTAATCAAGAACCTTGCAATTTGTGGGCATGACCACATATATGTCTTAGAAGAGCTATGTAAGTCTGGCCACATGCAACTATAACTATGTTTAAGAAGTTTAGTCTACAGGTGTGTTTATGTATTCTGAACTGCATTGTGCTTCGAGAACAGAAAATCTGCCTCATTCTGGGACCCACACAATAGATCATTGTTGACCTGGCATACATTTAAAGACAGTGAATATTTTATAATTCTATTTTCCAACTTTCTTATGTGAAGAGGAAGCATTCTTTTGCAGTTCTAAGCTACGCTGATCATTGTTAGGTCAAACTGTGTCCAAAGATGGAGTCACTACTGACCAGCAAGATGGCATCACAACTCAGTGGGCAACATTCCAGAAACCAGAAACTAAACCATCTTTGTATCTCAGTAACCATCTGACCTTTGCTTTAACAATGCACCCTAATTATAACAGCAATTTTCCATCGCAGCCAACTGAAAACTTGAAAAAACACCTAACCAACCACCTCCCCCCGACGAAGACACCTGCTGCTGATTCACCTTCTTGCTACAGTCTCACCTCCCCCTACCCACGAAAGAAAAATCCTATACACTCCAACCTGCTGTGACAAGAAACTACTGTGCCCTTTCTCCCGTGGGAGCAGTCCAGCAGCTCATACATCCCAATACATTTCTTCTCTTCTCGCCTCAGAGTGTTCTCTAGTGGTTCTGGACTTTTCACAAACCTAACAATCATGTGTGCCTTTGTCTTCTTCTCACTTATCTTCTCTGGGATTTTGTTTTGATAATTTTGATCCCTCTTTTTCTCACTTACAGTCTTCATTAACTCCTTTTACCAACTCCAAAAGTATCCCTTACCTTAAAAAATTGAAATTACCGGACCAATTATTTGTTCCACTTCCCAAGACATGTCTTTCACCGTTATTTATTTCTTTAATTAGCACACTGGGATGGTGGTCAACCTTCCTTGTTGGGGCTGCCAGAGAGCCAAGGCTCTTGCCCTAAGACTCTACTTACAAAATTATTCCCTCCAGAGGTTTCAATTTGTCCTTTACTGCCAAATTTTGTATTATTTCTTTATTCTTTTTTGCCCTTCCCCTCTTCAAAACTTTTTATATTATTATAGTTAAAAGAAAGATTTTTTTTGTCTTTTTGAAACAGGGTGTCCCTGTAGCCCCAGCTGTCCTGGAACTCACTATGTAGACCAGGCTGGCCTTGAACACACAGAGATCTGCCTGCCTCTGCCTCCCAAGTGCTTGGATTAAAGGTGTGAGCAACCATGCCCAGCAAAAAAGAAAGATTTTTTAAAACTTGCTGTAGTTTTTTATATTTCTTCCTTCTTAAAGTCTTTTTATTCTATTGACTCTGACACTGAAATCTCTTAGTCATTTTTGTGTCCGTTTCCCTTTTATCTGTTTCATCACATCTTCAGTTTTAAATTGCTCCCAAGCAGGGATGCACATGCTGCCATCTGCCTGCCCAAGAGCCACTCTTAAATTTTCACTGCAAAGACACAGTGCTGATTAGGAGGGTAATGTGAACAGCAAAAATCTTCACTTTGGGGGACTGGAAGATGGCTCAGCAGGTAAGAGTACTAGTTGCTCTTGCAGAAGATCTGGGTTCAATTCTCAGCACCACCATGGCGGCTAACAACCATCTGTGACTCCAGTGTCTGGGTAATCTGATGTCCTCTTCTGACATCCACAGGCATTGCACTACACAGGTGCATTTACATACATGCAGCCAATCCATTCATGCACAACAAATAAAAATAAATAAAATATTTTTTA